TTGGATTGATGGAAGATTAACAAACTAAATATAAATGCAAAACCCAACAACTTAACTAATTAAACAATTCTAAAACAAATGCTAGGGTGTTGAATTCACCTAAATACGCTAACCCAAATCATAGAATCTATTACCCAAGTTTAATTCCTTGATTGAAAATCGAATTCCCTAAGTTGTAAAAAACATTCTCATGCTACATTTCCCTACTTATCCCTATTATGCTTCCGCACCGAACAAAATGAAGATTAATAGTTCAAAGGATTCTAAGCTTTGTGGAAATCATCTAGATTTCATAGATCGCTAAACCTATCTCTAGCATTTGCTAATCTACGGTATTTATCCCAAGAGGCACAATCACAAATCACTTCTCAGCATCTGTGAACAACACACATTTGAATGGTGACAAAAATCCAAAAGACATAAGCAAAGAGATAAACACTCAATCATGAAATTAAAACTCAAAGTAATTAATCCATATAAATTTGAATCATTGTATCAAGATTACATCAAACCTAGCTAAACAACTCAGTTCATACTCAAAAACGAAATAAAACAACAAAAACAAACTGAATCAAGATTCATCATTGAAAAGCAAGCAAAAGATGGAGAAATCTTCTCTAATTGAAGCCCAATCTTCAATAATTCTTCCTTCCATGAGCTGCTCCCAAATCACGAACACAACCCTTTTTCTTTCCTTTTCGCTCTAATTATACTCTCTCACTTAAGGACGAAGCCCTAGCAAGCCAAAACGCGTCGTTTATTTTTGCATCTGACGCAGGTTTTGCCGCGGCGAAGCTTTCCTCGCCGCGGCGAAGACTTACAGACCCAATTTGAGCATGATATAGTTAGAATCTGGAAAAGTGTAAAACATATGAATTGTATCCCTTTAAATTATCTTTTGGTCGTTCAAGAATCAGCACAATCCGAGGTCTACAGATCAAGTTATGGCAGAAATACTGAAGCACGTCTAAAGACGTTTTTCTTCAGTTCCCAGCGTCCTTTTCACGACTTCAAGCCAAGTTTTCACTCTTGTCCAGTCAGAATTAGGAAAAACCCAAAACATGAACGTTGTAGCTCTTCTTCTAGCTTTCCAAAGCTTCTAAATTCAGGTTATTCCGAGTTTTCAAGCTCAAGTTACACAATTTACGCTCAAAACTGTCATTTATGCTAAAAATCATCGTTTAGGCTACAAAGACAAATTAATAGAATTAGGTAGCAATATGGCCCAAATTGTATGAAACGTATCCTAAATCCTATTAAAATTCAATGCAAAATCATAGTGTAAAATACGCTTATCAAGAAACGGTAACTGTTCATACTGTTATCAAATCAACGAATCTTCCCTTCAGTTTACCTAAATTTTCTTCGATTCTTATCAAATTCACATGGTATCAGAGCCTTGACTAACGTCGATGGCTAAAAATCCTGATTTAAGCTCAAATCCTCTACCTATCAGCCTTGAGGAAATGCTGAAGGAAGTATTAAATCGATCGTGCGTCTTCGGTTGCTTCAAGTCTACCGGTGATAAACCAAAACTTACTCGAGATAATTACAAGATTTGGAGCTCGCAAGTTCTTTTTGCTGTAGGATCGCATGAGCTCGAGGACCACTTGTGGTAAAGTTCCATGTCCTTCTCCCTTAATTTTGTTGATATGAATGTTGATAATGAGTTGAGTCAGCTGAGTAGAGAACTTAGGGTTAAGAATGATTCAGTTAAGGAAAAAATTAATCCGAGTTACATTATGTGGAAGAGAACCGATAAGTTTCTGGTTAGTTGGCTGCTAGCTTCAATATCGGAAAGTATGTTTGATACAGTGTCTAAGTGTAGGTTTTCAAATGATATTTGGAGAGTCCTAGAGCATGAATTGTTACAGATTCAAAGGCTAGGGCTACATCTTAGAAATCTATTACAGACAACTCAAAAGAACAATTTGAGCATTTTTGAATATGTCAAAAAGATGAAAGAAATTAGTGAAAGTTTATCAGCTAGCGGTATGATATATCTGATGAGACTTGTTACAGTACGTTCTGGATGGATTAGGGCCTGAATATGATCCTGTGGTGGTAAATTCTACATCTAGGCTTGAATCGAAAATAGACTCAAACGCTTTAAGAAGCACAATTTTTGCTTCAAAATATGAAGTTAGGTTAGACAAGTTCAATACAGTTGATCATATAATAGTTCAACTCACATTGCAACTATAAATAATATTGGAAGTGGAAGTGGACACTCTGGACTGACCAGTGACAAAAATCATGAGTTGCTGCTGGGAACTCTAATCTGTCTATCTCTAAACTCCTTAGGAAATCCTATGTCCAACAAACATACCATTGCCATCAAACCACTTCCCTACGATTTAACTACTCACCATTTCCCTACAACCACACTCCCACTTTTAATCCTAAAGGACCTGGTTTTGTTCAGTATGGAAGAGGCAGAGGCCGTGGTTATAACAGAAAATATACTGATCTGCCAAGTCTGTAACAAAGCTGGTCACTCAGCTGCTCAGTGCTACCACAGATTCAACTCTGCGTATAATGGGAATATGCACCAGAATATCTGGTGCAAGTTTGTGTAAACACTATTACATCTCAACCTACTACACCAAAAAGAATATTCCTTAGAATATTTTTTTCTTTTTCTTTATTGCAATAATCAACAATTAATCTATTTCACTAATTATTTTTGTATATATAATTAAATATTGGGAAGATATTTTTATAAATAATAATATTTTGAAAAATATACTAATTTATCAAATTAAGCATTTATTTAATCAAATAAACATTACATTTAATATAGAAAAACATTACATCTAATATAAATGATACAAAAAAAAAAAAAAAATATATCCATTCAAGCTTCTGAGATTGTGGCTTATTCAAAAAGATGTACTGTCCATTCAAGCTTTTGAGATTTGTGGCTTATTCAAAAAGATATATTGTCCATTCAAGCTTTTGAGATTTGTGGCTAATTCAAAAAGATGTATTGTCCATTCAAGCTTTTTAGATTTGTAGCTAATTCAAAAAGATGTATTGTCTATTTAAGCTTTTTAGATTATAGCTTATTTCAAAAGATATATTATTCATTCAAGTTCAAAAAGATGTGTGTCCATTTAAGCTTTTTAGATTTAATGTTTTTAAATTAGTGTTAATTTTTTTTGAGTTATTGTAGTTTAATATTTATTTAAATAAAGTTTGTTTTTAATTTTCATTATTTTTGAATATATCATTATATGAATTTATTATTTAAATAATAATCAAATTAAATTAAATAAAAATAATCAAATTTGGTGTGATTTTTTGTGTAAAATTTATACTCAAATAACTTAACAAAATTAAAAAATAATAATAATAATATAATGGCACTACAGTGCTGTGCCAAATTTTTTTTTTTTTTAATTGTTAAGTTAATTTGAGTATTCACACCAAATTTGATTATTTGTATTAATTTAATTTGATTATAATTTATAATAAAAATCTATAATATGATATAATTCAAAAAATGATGAAAAATTTAAAACAAAATTTATTCAATGCAAATATTAAACTACAATAACTCAAAATAAAATTAACACTAATTTAAAAACATTAAATCTAAAAAACTTAAATGGACAACATCTTTTTGAGCTTGAATGAATAATATATCTTTTGAAATAAGCTATAAATCTAAAAAGATTGAATAGACAATACATCTTTTTGAATTAACCACAAATCTAAAAAGCTTAAATGGACAATACATCTTTTTGAATTAGCCACAAATCTCCGATTTCGAAAATTTCTTGCTCGACATAAACAAATCAAGGATACAGAGGCTCACCATGCTCTTCGAAATGCATTAATTGATTATGTTAGAAGAACATACTAATTCTGAAAATTAAATTACAATCAATATGGAATTTTACCTTGTGTTGTTGTTTGTGTTTTTTTTTTTTTGATATCTTTATATTAAATGTAAGTTTTCTATATAAATGTAATGTTTATTGATAAATAAATGCTTAATTTTATTAAATTAGTATAATTTTCAAAATAATTATTATTTATAAAAAATATCTTCCCATATTTAATTAATATATACAAAAATAATTAGTGAAATAGATAATATTTAATATTACAATAAAAGAAAGAAAAAGAATATTCTAAGAAATATTCTTTTTAGTATAATATATAGTGTAGTGGGTGGAGATGGAATAGTGTTTACACCCAAATTTGCACCAATTTGATGCAATGGTTGGAGATGTCTTATGCCATCATATGGGTTTTCAACCGATAGAGTTTATGACATTTCATATATTTTAATGTTTAAAGAACCTATCAACCTAAACTGATTATTAAGAAAAAATCTTCCATATAATATAATACAATACAACAAGCCTACCAGAGGAGTATGAATAATACTACATATATATCATTCTCATACAACATTTCTTATACAACATTATGTGGCAAGATATGATTGGGTGAAAGTTTAATTTAACTTTAAATTAGTCAATCATATCTTGCCACATAATGTTATATGAGAAATGTTGTATGAAAATGATGTATGTATAGTATTACTTGAGGAGTAAATATACTTTACTTGTGCTAATATGACCATTTTTTTTTTTTTTTTAATGACTGAAGGTGTTCAAGCAAGTTTACACATACTTTAACTAATTTCTCAGGACCTTGAAACTATCGACTGGATAAGAGTTCCAGTATCTATTCCTATTAGCAACTTGGGGGGGAATTTATGACACTTTTTTATTGGTTGGTTGTGTTGCAATATATTATATGGAAGATTTTCTCATTTATGAATGTTATTGTAAGAAAATCACCTTCTATCAATATGATTGATCATTTAGTGGAAAATTAATATCTCTATTATATCAATATTTTTCAAGACATAAGAGCACAATTCTAGCAATATCTTCAGACAAACACCAACCCCACTATGCTTTAAAGCTACGATCAAACAAAAATGTGCCCACCAAAATTAAGTGTCATCAACTACCAAATCGTACTACAATAATTTATTGGTCATCAAATTCAATTCAAAACCTTCATCATCTTCAACTAATTAATAATGTAAAACATAAACATTATACTCAACTGTTGCATCTCCAGTTTTGACATCAAATTTATGAGTTCTAGCCTGCACATAACCTCGAGCAAACCTGAACAGTCCACTCCCTCCGATCACCGGCATCTCTCTCACCTTCGAAAACACCGTGTTCCTTCCCATGATTGTTATGCTACTCCCGTTGTATTTCCCTTCAATGAACGCAAAGTTCATCGCCATTAGTAAACCGACTTCTTCTAGCGAAGCAAGCGCATAAAACCCTTGTGCTCTACCCACCATTTTCGACGTCATTTCTGGCCCTTCGGTCAAGGGATCGTCGATCATGCTGACCATGCCAAAGCCGGTGGGCGATGTCTTGTTGGAAGATGGGGTTACTACGGGAACTGCAGTGGGGTTTCGTCCGCCGACAATGTCGTGCCAATATATGCGAAAGTGTGTTAGCTTTTCTTTGCCGAACCCCGATAGGGGTTTGTCTAGGGTTTTCGCGAAGCTTGATTGGTTGGATTTTGCTGCAGTGGATGAGGAAAGGAGGAGGAGGAGGAGGAAGAAGAAGAGAAAGAGGGAGTGGGTAGTAAAGATTGGGAGAGTTTTTGTAAGTGGTGCTGCCATGGCTGAAATTGATCAGAATTGAGTGGTTTTGTGTAAGTAGTGAAGTGATGAGGTTTTTTATAGAGGAAATGTTTATGAAAATGGGATCTGAAGAATTTGGTTGGTGGAATAGAGCTGGACTTTTGGAAGCTAGAATGACCATAAATTCACATAATGTTAATAACTTGGTGCCTTCCTCTCAAAAATATATTGACTTAATTTAAATTTCTAAATGACATTTGTCGACGGATAATCACGCGTAATGTTATGTAAAATCTTTCAACGTGTTGATTCCTTATATATATAGTGAAATTAACTGATTTATTATTTGATTGTGAAGAGAAGAAAGAACGAAGCAAGATGTCAAAAGGGAAACTTATATTATGGGTTGTTGGATCGTTACATTGAATTAATGAAAATATATCCCCTTTAACAAGAAGATAATACTATATTCGATATGTGAAAGATTTTCTCGTATCATTATTAAGTGTTGTTTACGCGTCACTGGCATCATAAATCAAGTCAATGAATTTATTCTATATAGAAAATTGATTTATAAGAAAAGAGGGAACATGTCAAAAAGGAAACTTAATGGGTTGTTGGGACCAAGGTTTGGCGACATGTTACACGATTCAGAGTTGGTCATCATTTATCCCACTTTACCAGGACCCCGCATGGCTTTTTCAGCCAAGAATTCCTGACAATTAATGGTAATTTATTTTGGCGTAGAAAGGACGCAAAGCAATTGCAAAGATCACATCGATCATCTCCTTAAACCTCAACAAAACCTGACATTATAATACTCTTTTGGTTTTGTGATTGAATGAATGTACGCATATTTGTCTCATCTCCTTATAAGTTTTCTTCAGATTTTGATTTGGAACTTAATAATATTTAAAATTATTTATTGGATGAAAAAAATCCTTGGCATCACAAATGTTAGATTTAAAGAAAATTCTTTCGTGAGATGGATAACGATATATACGGTTAAATAATAAAACGTATTTTGTAATATTATGTCTATATGTTCCTAGGTGAGATAATTTGTTAACTGGGGTCCAACAAATTTTTTATTTAGATGAGAAATTCAATGGAGGAAAGTAAAACCCTAACCCTAGCGTACAATGTGGGGTTGGACATAATTTGAATTGTTTGGAAAGATTGATTATTTAATTTAAAGTTGGAAGTAGAAAAGCTAAAGTTGAGTGAGCTCCATCATTGCTCTTGTTGGCATTCATATGAACATGGTCAAGCGTGAAAAATATGAGGCAGTCCAAAAGTACAAGCAAAATACCACTTACTTCCCTCTGATTTTAGGCACTAGTGTGCAAGAAACATATTACTATTCTATGATTAATCCATATGCCCTAGTTAAGAAATATATATATATCATTGAATCTCAATTGTAAAACATTATATCAGTTCAATGAGTATTGAACGAATAGAGAAAAGAAAAAGTTTCTGAATAATGCTCTTAACTTTCATTTATTTGCAAGAGACTTTATATACAAAGCTTAGTTGACTAATTACTGACTAACTAACTAATTAAGCAACTAATCCAACTAATTAAAACTGACAAATTAACAACTTAACAAACCAGCTAAAATAAGCTAAACGTGTTAAAACTGATAAACTGTTGAATTACATAAATACCCCTTCCAGATTTAATTCCTACATTCCCCCCTCGAGTTGGAGCTAGGTGACAATCACCTAAGCCCAACTTGGACAAGAAATATGTAAACTAAGGAGCAGTAAGAGGTTTAGTGAAGAAATCAGCAAGTTGCTGTGAAGATGGAATGTGCTGGGGAGTGATGAAACCTGCCTTGAACTGATCTCGAACCACATGACAATCAATCTCCAAGTGCTTAGTACGCTCATGAAAAATTGGATTGGCGGTGATGTGTAGGGCAGCTCGATTATCACACCAAACAGTAATAGGTAGTGAGAAAGAAATCAGCAAGTCTTGAAGCAAATAGGAAATCCATTGCAACTCACAAACTATGGTTGCCATACTCCTGTACTCTGCTTCTGCGGAGGACTTAGAAACTGTAGTTTGTTTCTTTGTCTTCCACGAAATAAGAGAAGAGCCAAGGAACACACAATAGCCAGTGAGAGACCTTCGGGAATCAGGGCAAGAAGCCCAATCAGCATCACAATAAGCTATGACTGTAAAGGAAGAGTGAGCTGGAAAAAATAGACTTTTAGAAAGACATCCCTTTAGATACCGCAGGATGTATAAAGCAGCATCCCAATGTTCTTGGCAAGGTGAATTAACAAACTAACTCAGCTGTTGAACAGCAAAGCTAATGTCAGGTCTTGTCAAATTAAGATACAATAAGTGGCCAATTAATCTCCTATATTGATCAGGAGAAGATAGGGGATTGGAAGATTCTGAACTAAGCTTGCAACCTTTGAGAAAAGGAGTAGAAATAGGCTTTGCACCAACCAAACCTGTGTCTTCAAGGATATCCAAAATATATTTCCTTTGATTGATAAAAGTTCCCTCTGAAGATCGAGCTATTTCTATCCCAAGGAAGTATTTGGCATATCTTAAGTCTTTGATAGTAAAAACGGAATGTAGATAAGCCTTAACTACTGCAATATCACTTTCATTAGGTCCCATTACTAAAACATCATCAACATAAACAATTAGAGCCAAGAAACTATCTACAGAAGGTTTAGTAAAGAGACAATGATCATGCTTGGACTAAACAAAACCATAGGCCAGTAACTTAGTGCAGAATTCATGATTCCATGGTCTGGAAGCTTGTTTCAAGCCATATAAGGATTTTCTGAGTTTGCAAACCTCTCTATTTTGTGCCTTAGAATAACCATCAAGGGGAAACAAATAGAATTCTTCTTCCAAATAACCATGTAAAAAAGCATTGTTAATGTCTAATTGATGTAATGGCCAAGAATAGGCAGTAGCAATAGCCAAGAAAATTCTCATGACTGTAACAAGCTTGGCAACCGGAGAAAAGCTTTCCAAATAATCCACCCCATAAATTTGATTGTAGCCTTTGGCCACTAATCTGGCCTTGTATCTATCTATACTCCCATCTGGTTTAAGTTTAATTTTATAAACCCATTTTGTGCCAATTGGTTTTTTTTTTCCAAGTGGTAATGGAACTAATTCCCAAGTATGGTTGGGTTCTAAAGCATCAAGTTCAGCATTCATAGCTTTAATCCAAGCAGGATGTTGGCCAGCTTGATGATAAGAAGTAGGTTCTTGGATTGTTGAGACATTAGCTAAGAAATTAATATATGTGTGTGATAAACGGGGAGGATCAATGTAAGGGTAAGTTGGAGGTGTATGAATTGAAGAAAAATGAGATTTATCAACAGTTGAGATCTGTTGGGAATTATGACAATGCAGCACATAATCATTCATCCATTTTGGTGGCTGTTTAGATCTAAGACTTTGCCTAGGTAGAGAATGTTCAATTGGGATGGGTGAAATATTACTAGACTGTGAATGCAGTTCTACATGATTAGGAGACAAATTTTCAGGAATCAATTCATCATTAATAGGTTCAATATGCATAACAATATCAACTCTAGGTGATGAATGAGTTTCTAACTCAGCAGAAGGTATAGAATCAGAAATATCAAAATCAGATGTAGACTGTGGATAAGATGTGGCAGGTAAACAAGCATTTTCTGTAGGAAACAAGTCTTCAAAAATAGAAGGAATTAGTGGCACACATGAAGACTTGTTTGTAGTAGAATCAGTAGAGAAAGGAAATATTTGTTCAAGGAAATATACATCTCGAGAAACAAACATTGTTTTAGAAGACAAATCATAAAGCTTAAAAGCTTTCTGACCTTGACTATAACTAATGAAACAACACCTATTAGCTTTGGATGCAAATTTATCCTTGTGTGATAGTATATTGGTTGCATAACAAAGGCAACCAAAAACCTTGAAAAAATCATAGGTAGGAATCTGTTTATACAGTAGTTCATATGGGGATTTCCATTAAAGGACTGAGTTGCCATGAGAATGGCATGATCCCAAAACATAACAGGCATATTAGCTTGAAAAATCAGGGCTCTAGCTACTTGAAGTAAATGCCTAACAATACCATTCTGTTGAGGTGTGTAGACACAGGTTTTCTGATGAACAATACCTAATGTACGAAATAGTTGTTGACAATTAGAATTAAGAAACTCAGTTCCATTGTCTGTTCTAATGCTTTTAACTTTAGCATCAAATTGGGTTTTTACAAGATGAAAGAAATTTTGCAAAGTAGTGAATGTTTGTGTTTTGTGGGAAAGGAGAAATGTCCACACTGCCCTACTGTGATCATCAACAATAGTCAGTACATAAAGTGCTCCTGTAACAGATTTTACTTTATAAGGACCCCATAGATCCAAATGAAGTAAATCAAAAGGTTTAAGGGATATGGTTTGACTTATAGGAAAAGGTAACCTATACTGTTTTGCTTTGTGACACATATCACAATCTAAAAAAGATGCATCAATGGATTTATCAATAAATTGTAAATGATGCAATGCATTCAAAGAGCTGTGAGCAAGTCTCTTATGCCAAAGAGATAATGAGCAATGACCCACTTTATTAGCAGAAAAAGAAATGTTACAAGCAAGAGATAAACACTTAGCTGATATAGCTTGTGTTTCTGTCTTATTACATGTAGAAAAATTCCTAAAATGGACACGGTTTTTGTCCAGAATGCATAAATTCCCAACAAGTTTCCCAACTGCTAATATTTCTTCATTTTGTAGGTCCTGCAAAACACAAAGTTTTGGATAAAAAGTAAATTTAAGATTTGCATTAGCAGTGAGTTTGGGTACTGAAAGTAGATTAAATATGAAAGATGGAACATGCAGCGCATCATGCAGGGTCAGTTTAGAGTTTAATAGGATGTTTCCAATATGGTTCACAAATTTTATGGTTCCATCTGGTAAATGGACAGGTGTAGGTTTGGTTACAGGTTTTGGTGAGTTCATAAGTTTCAAATCAACACATATATGGTTTGAAGCACCTGTATCAACAATCCATGTTCTCACTTCTAAGCAATCAATAACTTGTAAGCTATAGTTCATACCTGCAAAGTCCCCTAGATGAGCAAAGTTCACCAGATTATTTTCAACTGCATTTTCCCTTTCATCAGCTTCATAACCTCCTGCTGTATAATATCAGTGAGAGATTGTCCCTGCAATCCTTTCTTTTCTTCTTCACCAATGTCCTCAAAAT